ACTTTGGGTCTTCAAAGTGTTTTCATATCCTATTATCCAATGCAGTTCTGGAAGTTAGGACGCCTGGAATCTAGTCTCTGTTAGTTATATGATGTGGGATAAATTTTTTAATTTTTTTCTATGCTTTCATTTCTTTGTAGGCAAAATAAGATAGTAACAACTGATTTGCTAATATTCATGGTTGTTCGAGTAACATGACTTAATGGGCTAAGTGATTTAAAAAAGTGCTTCCCAGTTGTGGGATGCTTTTATTAAGATAGTAGTCTTTATGTGCCAAACAGAATCACAGATGAGCTTTAGGGGGGGGAAATCCCAATGCCAACTTTCACATTTCAACTCCATTTCCTCTCTAGAAAATAATCCAGATGTTATTAAATGATCTCTTCAGCCCAACTTGCAGGTAATCCTTAAGCATTCTTGAAAAGCTTCCAAGTAAATTGAAAATAAGATCGTTTTCAGATTTTGTCCCTTTTATGCAATTCTTCGGAGAGTATGAAGATATTTTTTAACCTCTTTAGGAAGCAGCAGCAGCCATACTTTCCTTCTTTGAGGAGCTCTTCCTTTTCACATAAAGCAGGGAAATTCTTGTTATAGAAAGGAAATATCAGTCACTGAGCACAGACTCAGAGACAGTTAAAACCAGAAGGGATTTCAAGTATCATCTTGTCCATCTTCTCATTTTACAGATGAGGAAATTGAAACCTACAGCAGTTAGGTGACTTGTTCCAGCTTTTGGTGAAAGAACTGGAACCTGAATCCAGGCTAGAATCACCTATGTGTTCTTTTCATTTCTAGAATCCTATGTCTACCAAAAAGTTCTATTTTTTTTGCTTAATCATTATAGTTTCTTGTCATAGCTCAGTTGTGTAACTGCAACCACAGACTTATAATGAAGAATAAACAATGTGAGGAATGGCTGCCCTGATTTGCCTTTGTACACAATGTCTGTAAAGGTAAGACACACAGTAGCCTCTTAATAAGCATTGATCATGACACTCTATTTAAAATTTAAATGGCATTCTTTCAGTTCAGAAATGGTTTTGGAAATCAGAAACAACAGAGAATCTCACAACTGACTGCTCATAGTTGACATGCTCCAAGACTATGTGCTTTCATTTCACTAGTTAAAAACATTAAAAACTAATGTAAGCAGACACTTAAGGATCTCAAACATGTTGAAACATTCTCTTTCTGGGTGTAGTGAGAAAGTTTTTTATTACATATATTGGGACGCTAGGTAAACAAAGTGGTTTGAACACTCCAGAGAAAAAGATAAAGTAAAATACTAATTCCACAGGGTATCCTGGATCAAATTTCTTTTTTGATGAGACCTATTGACTGACTGTACACTGAGCCACTGTCAGCTAGGGTACAAGCTGTTCTTCAATCTCTGCAATGTGAAATACCCTGTCATTATGATACAAATACCAGCATCAAACTAGAGAAGAATTTTGGGGAGTTCATGGCTTTTATGGCAAAACCCCCAGCAAGTAATGCTGTCTCAAAAAATATATAAAATTGCCTCCAACTATGAACTGAAACTATAGGGGCGCAGCAAACACCCTGGAGTACTGTTTTAGATGAAGCGCCGTGATGGTCGGCCCTTCCTCC